GGATGAGATGGTTGGATGGCATCATGGATGTGATGGACATGAGTTTGAATAGGCTCAGGGAGTTGGTGAAAGACAGGAAGCCTGGCATGCTGCAGCCCATGGGGTTGCAAAGAGTTGGACACCACTGATCAACTGAAATCCTGAGTTACTATGCTACACACTATGGATCCCCTACACCTACACTTTATAAATAGTGCCTCTGTCAGTAAAACTCTTCTAAGGTTATCCTATTTAGACTATGTTATTTGATTGCTGATAGATCCCTGATTGAACAGTGTGAAAAAGTAACATTTTTTCTCTGACTATAAATAATCTTCATTAACTTCTTTTCCAGATAATGTATTTTTTATGGCATTTATCCATTGATTTCAAAGAACTACATAAAAAATAATTTCCACAATATTTCTTAGTAGAAAGATATTAAGAGGGAAATTTTTTAGAAAAAGAATAAAATCACAATTCTCATACAAACATAAAATTAGCATGTGTTAAAAACTTTTATTTTATTCATTCTTAACACAGAAGAAGTCAGTGATATATTACAACCAGCTCAAAAAAAGAACTCAAATCTTCTCAAATAAAGAATTCCAAATAATTTATGTAGATACTTCCTAGCCAAGGAGATAGATTGTAACTCCCTACCCCTTGAGTATGGGCTGTGTTTAGTGATTTGCTTCCAAAGAATAAATCACGGAAGTGGGTATGTGTATAAATTTACAGTGGAGAAATTTGGCAAACACACTACCTTAGCCAGGTATTTAAGGTTAACATTATCACTGGTAAGACCTGCTGATAGCATGTATCTTTGATATAATGTAATCAGAAGCACTTCATCTCTATGGTCATTCTGCAAAAACCCATAATCCTGCTCTAATCATGACAAAACACACCAAATCCCAATAGAGGGGCATCATACAATATACCTGATTAGTACTACCCAAACTTTAAAGGTCATCAGAACCAAGGAAAGTCTGAGAAACTGTCATGACCTAAGGAAGCATGATGGTTAAATACAATGGGGTATCCTGGATGGAATACAAAAAAAGGATTTAGAAAAAAACTAACAAATCTGAATAAAGTATGGAGTTTAATTAACACACCAGTGTTGATTTCTTACTTGTGACAAATATACCATAGTAATTCAGGATATTAATAACAGGAGAAATCAGGTGAGGGATAACTTTCTGTGGTACTATTCTAAAATTTAAAGTTTATTAGAAAGAGAGAAAAAACTACTCAAGGTGCTCTATATTTATATTCAGAAAAAGAATGCTGAAATGAATTTAGAAACAGATGCAAAACATATCCACAGAGTAATAATCAAAATTTACACTTTTACAGACAGGAATGATTTGCTTACTATCAGCGTGCAATGAGTTAGCTTCTATTTCTACAGAGTTATAAGATAATCTAGTCACAGACAAATCCTAAAAAAAAAAAAAAAAAAAAAAAAACCCTGTATGTCCCTCTAGGGATAGGTGAATCACAGATGCTCCAGCATTCTGTTAAAAAGATACCTAGAAATCTCTTTGACCATTTCAAAATCTTTTACAATTTTTTTCTATAGAGGAGGCAGGTGTCAAAATTATTTTAAAAAGCCCTTACAACTGGCTGGCCTGATTTGACAGAAGTATACAAATATTCAAAAGGTTATGCAATGCTTTGCTAAGTTATCAGAACACTGTGAACTGAAAAATACCCCAAAGATGAAGATAATTTATCAGCCTGCCCTGGGGAAACTCTACAGACTGCCAAAGATATACATCATTGCCTTAGAGTTAAAAGCACTTGCTATGTTACGTTACCTAGGCAACACACCAGCAAATGGTGCAGTAATAAAATAAGAATTTAAAAAAGCAAGATGAACAAAAGAACAATCAATATTAGGTTCCAAACTCAATTCCATTTCCTACCTGTTTGTACAAACTATTCATGTTAAGAAGGGACTCAGCAGGAGACAAAAGTGACACGGTTGGATCCCTGGGTTGGGAAAATCCCCTAGAAAAGGAAATGGCAACCCACTCCAGTATTCTTGCCTGGAGAATCCTATGGACAGAGGAGCCTTGTGGGCTATGGTCCACAGGGTTGCAAATAGTCAGATACGACTAAAGCAATTCAGCACACAGCACACACAGCTCTTAGGTGGGAACTATCATCTTCCCAGGCCTCATATTTTCATCTTGGAGAGATTTCAACTGAATTAATGCCATGACAAAAATATATGGTGACAAAAATATATGGTTATGATTGGAACATTTGCCCTTGGAGTTTTCATTTTAAGTTCTTATTTAAATATGTGTGTTTCCTTTTTCCTCACAGTATTAATGCATGTGCCAAGTGTCTTGAAGCCAAAATTCACATGGGTCTTTCACACCTCAGTTTTAGATGCCTTGGTGGAAGAGTGACTGTCTCTTACAGTAAATTAGTAAAGATACTTCTGAATATAATCTAGTAAACTCTGCTTGACCACAGGGGAAAATGTGCTGATCATGCCTTATGTGAGAATTTGCACTCCACGACAGCAATATTTCTTATTACACAAATAAATCAATTAGTATTCTGGCTCTATCCCAATTTACATGCATTTTAGTTAGTATGAACCAATTTCTCATAACCTTATCACCTCCCTAGGCACTGAGGAAAAAAGAAACTTCTCTAAGCTTTGAAGTAGGGGGTTAGGTTTCTTCCAGCTTTCCCTGAAATGAAACATCTCCCTCTTCGTGTTGCCTTTCTACTGATTAACATTTCCATGTAAAGACTCAGGCGAGAGGCTCATTTTAGAGCTAAATCTTAGGAAAAGCTCTGCTCATTCCAAGAATGATGAAACAGACTACTCCTTGTTTCAATCAGGAAGCTGACTATCAGCTGCAAGGGATCTTTCAGAAGTGGTTCGCAAGTTTTTTATGTTTGTGAAACACTTTTGAGTGGTAAAATTTGGTGCAGCCAACTTGAATGAATTAAATCACTTAAAATAACTCTAAATTATTATACATTTCAGAGGACCTGGAATGCATTCATAACTAACATGCTATCCAGATGGTCTCCTTTCAGTGCTGTGTTCCAGAACTATTTCTGCCCAGTGATTTCTTGTATTCTCACAAGGCAAAGCTCTCTAACATTCCAGTGAACCTTCCTCTAGAGCCAACTTAATGTTGTGCTTTGCCTTTTACTTCTAACTTGAAGGAAATTGTACAACATGCCCCACCTCAGAATTATGATGAACATAACTGTCTCATAACAAAAATTACAGTTACATGTCTGTGAAAACTTTGCTACATTATCAGCTCAGCACTCCAGTCAAAAACACTCTCGTCTGTTTTCAATTTCCCACATTGCAACTGACATAATTCCATTTTTCTTTACTTTGCATGCTTTATTTTTATTCACATTTCACTATTTTATTGCAGGTATAGCTTACTTTCTTAAATTCTCTGTAAAATGAGGTTAGAGGGTCCAAAAAAATAATAAAATATAGAAAATAAATACTTTCTCTTTGGTGCCTACCCTCTACTGCCCTCTGCAGGTAGAAGGAAAGAATAAGATCAGCACCCAACATAAAAATTTAAAAGTAACTGGTGTTTTTTGAGAGGCTAACCATTACCCACTAGACTCGAACTATTCACAGGAAGATTTCCCAATTTGCTGAAGTCCCTTCATTGTGTAAAAATTTCTGGGAACCACAGACTATTTTCAAGATATTTCCCTATCTCCGACATCCATATACAAATGGACATGAAGTGCTCTCTCAGGTCAAGGTTAAGCACCTCTATGTCAAAATTCCTTCAAGCCCTGTAAAATTTGGGTCTGGGAGTGAAAGAGAATAGAGACATAAAAGTGCAGACAATGCAACTTGTCTGTGCTTTGCAGACAAATGTCAACTAATGTATGAATCCCTGCAATGCAGCAATCAGAGATAATATGAGATTTTGCTGTTTTTACAAAAAGTGTAAGGAAGCCTGCTAGATAACCAGCAAACAGGCAGTTTCAATTCCGTGTAGAAAGGACCTTTGATTACGCACGGATTATTTTCTTCAATCACACTACTTTGTATGGACAGCAATACTGTCAGTGATGTCATCTTCTAAAACAACAGACAGAAATGTATAGGCATATTGTGCCAGCTGAGCCCAAATCAATGACCTGGGTAATGCAGTCAGGGTAACACTATTATTCCTCATCTAAATCCTCCAAGCCCATAGAAAAATAATGCTAATCTGATGCAGGTTCAAGGAATACGTTATGTGGGAAAGAAAATCAAGTACTTTAATTTTACATACAGTCTGACATGTACTTATAGGAAACACCACAGAATATATAGTTTTTACAATTAGGAGCATGTTTAAAAATTTATTAACAATCACAGGCTTTCTTGGATAAGAGTATTTTTAGCGAGGATATTCTCTAAAAGACTGATGTTCAAATATGTATGCATATAGCCTACCAATACCTTTCCACAATCGCGAGAACAGAATGATTTATAGTATTCCTGATAAGAGGCGGCAGCGTTGCTTTAGTGATTGGGGTGCGGAAATTTTTTGAAAGATTTATTATACCTTTCAGTTTCACCTACGCTTGTTTTGTGATTCAGTTGACTCATTCTATTTACCTATCTTCATAATGGGCATAATATGGACTTATGCAGATTTAATTTTTTTCAACGTTTGGAAACTTACGCGTTCTGAGATGAAAAATGTCTCTTAAAAAGGTATGCAGGGAAGAGAACTACTGGGTCCTTAAACTCTTTTAAAAGTGTCCACTGAGCGTCTTCTACTGAGTTGTAGGTTGGGGTAGAAGTAAAGATTGTATAGACAGAGCTTGGAAGCCCGCACATCCGGGCCACCGGAGAGCCAGGCAAAGGCCCCGCCCTCCTGGGGGCGGGGCCACGAGCGACCAGGAGGTTCCTCCGTCTCGTCGCGCCCCGCCCCATCCTCCCTGAGCGCTGGGGGCCTGCCTGTGCGGCGCGAGGCCGGAACCTGTGGGATATCCACGCAGCTTGAGCCATGGCTGACAGTGGCAGAACGCCTCAGGCCCGGGCCCTCCTGCAGCAGTGCCTGCACGCCCGGCTGCAAGTACGCCCGGCCGAGGGGGACGTCGAGGCCGAATGGGTGGAGGTAACGTTGGCCCCGCAGCTCCGGTTATCCTGTGGCGCGCAGGGGCGGTTCTCACCGCGCTGGCCGGCTGATTCGTACCCCGCGCTCCCTCCGAGCCAGCCGCCTGGCGCCTGGCAGGTGCTATGGTCGGCGCTGGACTCCTGGCCCGTCCTCCCAACGCTGCCGGTAATGCCTGCCTGGCCTGGCCTTTCTCCTCAGTCTTGCATCACCGACCCCGGCCCCTTCTCCCTCGGACTCCCAGAGGAGATTAAGAGGGACCCCAGGAATCTGAGCTTCCTCTCAAACGACCTACCTGAGCTCGGTGGACTTTAGGCCTAGTAGTCTCAGACCTCTTGCTTCAAAAAAGCTAAAAGCCTTGTCACTCCCGGCGCCTTGCTCGGGCTGCTGGTGACTTGTAGTGGTCTGGTTCGAGCTTCTAGGTTAAACTTGTTGCAAACGCTGAAGATCTGTTTTGACTTGTACTCCAGATCCCGTCGAATTCCGTCTTTTGTTGGGTACAGCTAGGTGCTAGCGCAGAAATGAGATTGCCCGTGAAACTTCCTTTCTCAAGAAACTTTTAAAAATTTAACTTATTTCACACTAAGAACAAAGGCCACTACTTTAAAAGTTGCATATATATGGAATTTAGAAAGATGGTAATGATGACCCTAGATGCAAGACAGAGAAAGAGACACAGATGTATAGCACAGACTTTTGGACTCTATGGGAGAAGGCCAGGGTGGGATGATCTGAGAGAACAGCATTGAAACATGTATATTATCAAGTGTGAAACTGATTGCCAGTCCAGGTTGGATGCATGAGACACGTGCTCGGGGCTGGTGCACTGGGATGACCCAGAGGGATGGGATGGGAAGGGAGGTGAGAGGGGGGTTCAGGATGAGGAACACATGTAAATCCATGGCTGATTCATGTCAATGTATGGCAAAAACCACTACAATATTGTAAAGTAATTACCCTCCAACTAATAAAGAAAAAAAAAAAAGAAAGGGAAAACAAAGAAATATACCTATCAAAAAAATAAATAAAAGTTGCATTGTTATCAAACGCATTTCCTCCAAAGAATTTTAAACATTTACGCCAAATGTCCTTCAACTTGAATATTTGCCTTTTTAAGACAGCCTGCCCATATGCAAAATTCCATGCAAAAACAAATGTTCTTTGAGGCCCTGACTTATTTTTGGAGTAAGCTGAAATGAAGGGAGGTCTTCCCTGGTGCCTCAGTGGTAAAGAACTCGCCTGCCAATGCAGGAGACATAAGATTTGCAAATTCGATCCCTGGGTGGAGAAGATCCCCTGGAGGAGGGCATGGCAACCCTCTCCAGTATTCTTGCCTGGAGAATGTCATGGACAGAGGAGCCTGATGGACTGCCGTCCACGGCGTCTCACAAAGAGTCAGACACCACTGAAGTGACTTAGCAGGACCACTCGCAGAAGGGGAAAAAATTGTAATAATAAGAAATAAAACTTGTGGAGGTACTAAGAAACTTTAATGGATCATTTCATTCACTCATCTGCTGAATTCCATCCCAGATCTAGCATTCTGTAACACAATCCTAGTTATTATTTTAAATACAACACGTAGACCATATGTGGATGATTATTCTTATATCACAATATGTTACCCTCTGGTAATTTGGAAATACTGAATATTTATAAGCATAAACATTCCTGTATTTTTGCCCTCCCTTTTTCTTTCTCAAAAATTCATTTCTTGTTTCTTTTGTTATGGTCTTTTAAAAATTTATCTTCCTTACTTTGAAATTTTATTCTTTCTTTTTTGCCAACCTTCTAAAGAGTTGCCTATTTTTATATTTGCTTCAAGGGATTATAAATCCCAAACTATTAATCATTTAGATTTCTTCTGTACTTCTTCATCTTTTTATATGCTTCATGTCACATCTCCTTATGCAAAATCAAATAGTTTATTGCAGCCTGCCAAACTATCAGTGTGTTTATAAACTTTAAAAGCTATTTTAAAGTTTTCTCTTCCACTTCCACACATGGGTAAATTAGTATAAAGAGTTGACAAGTAATTAGAGAGTAAATTCTTTCCTCTTTCTCAAGCATCCTCCATTCTGTTATTAAAAGTTATAATTTTTAAAAAGCTGCTTTTTTTTTTTAATTGTCACAAAGATTTGAAGGTTACTTTGTGTATTCTTGGTTTCATTCATTTAGACCTTTGCTCTCACAGTAATGTTTTTCTTCCTGGGAGGCATGAACTTTTTTAACCTACAGTGAGAATTATCTGTACTTCTCTATGTATTTGAAATGCTCTGTTTATACCAAAAGAAGCTATAAGGAAAGTGATTCTGTCTTGAAAAGGGGAATTTGTAGGTCACAATTTAAGAGCTATTGTTGTGATAAACTAAAAGAAAATACCTTAATGAGGAGTGGTATATGGTGAGTGGTAAGAACAGGTGTTTATTCATGCAAGTAATAAGATACTTAATTCTGATGTTGTTTAGTTATTAAGTCATGTCAGACTCTTGCAGCCCCATGGACTGTAACCCACCAGGCCTCTCTGTCCAAGGGATTTTTCAGGCAAGAAGCCTGGAGTAGGTTGCCATTTCCTTCTCCAAGGAATCTTCCCAACACAGGGATTGAACTGGAGCTTCTGAGCTTTCTCTACTCTGAGCTTCGTGACATAACAGGTGCCCAAATATGAATGTGCTTGGAAAATTTTGCACTGTGCCAAAAGAATCCCAGGAGAGAGGGCTGTGACAGTGGTGCAGGTATCTGTATCATTCCACCTGCCACGTCCTTACTATGGGTGTGCACTGGAGGCACTTGCTTGTTCCAAGAGCACTATTTAACTTTTTTTTTTTTTTGGTGGGAAGGATGAAGCTATTTTATTGAGGAGCTTTGGGAGAGGGTCAAAGGGCTAATAGAACAATGAGATCTGTCTTCCTTCTCCCCAGCTTCACCTTAGTCCTCTGAAAGACAGTTGCACTTGTAGAAGGTTACTTCTTATCCAGATAGATCAGGTGTGAGTGCAGAGCTGTGTTTATATTTATTTAGAAGACTATGTAGATAACACATAGAGCCTATAAGATAAAGTTGAACTAAAATGCACTCAACAGAGCCCCTGTCAAGTACAAAACAGTCTATGAAGTGCTGGGAGTTAAGATGTAAAATAAATTGTGTTTCAGTCCTTCAATTTCTTTTCACGTCCTTAATAAGCAATTATATAGCTCTTACTATGAACCAGGCACTGTTCTAAGTGCTCTACAGATATTAACTCCTTTAATCTTCATAATAGCTCTTGGACTCAAAAGGTTAATCTACAAAATAAAAAATTTAATGATTCACTTTGCAGCAAAATCAAAGTCATTTATCAAGTGTCTTCTTTCCATATAGTCTCTCTCCTACAAGAGCTAAGAAAGAAATGTCCAAGTCATTACATAAAATAAGCTTACATTCCTGATAACAGACAACCTCTTGATGTAGAACTTAATATGAATGCGATTTCCAAGGTTTAATCACTATGTGTATTTAAAGAATTAACAAAAGTAACAAAAAATAATAGGACAGAAATTTCTTGGAGTTTATTGCAATAGAATCAGACCCTTATTTTTATTATCTACAAATAAATGGATTAGTAAGAACGAAGAATGATGATGTCAAAAGACATGTAAGTCACAATGTTGTTTATACATCAGTCATATCTGATATTATGTGAATTCATTTGATGTTGAATGAATAAGCCTCTGCGAAACTGAATGTTTGTAAATCTGTCAGCTTTACTTGAGAGGAAGTCTAGTTCATAATCCTAATGATTTTGATTAGAAGTTTAAAGGTATAACTTGGGGTCTTCACTGCTCTTGGCTGTTTGGTTTTTTTTGTTTAGGTGCCATCAATTTATTTTTTAAAAGTTTGTTGAGCTCACCAGATTTATCTGGTTTTAAAAATCACCCAGGGATCTTACTTCTAGGAATTTACCTTATGAAAATACTTACCTTGACTGTATTTTTAACTTGATTTTTGAAAGAAGTGATAACTGAGGTGATTGAATATAAAAAAATACTTTATTTTCTCACATATTTAAGCAATCAAGTCTCTTGTAAAAAGTTATTTCTCTTCTGCGTTTAACCTCTTAACCTATAACAGTTGTAAAATTTTATTCATTTTCCTCTGTATCTCTCTATAGAAGTTTCTGATCTGAGTTTATTGTGGTTTCTCATAGGTTCAAAGAGGATTAGTGATCTACGTGTGCTTTTTCAAGGGAGCTGATAAAGAACTTCTTCCCAAAATGGGTATGTGTTTAGTATCATTTCTTTTATAAGAGTGAGAGTGAATAGCAATAGATGAACCAGCAGGGGCAGAGAGTACAATCTTATATTATACAGGTGTGTAAGTTATAAATGACTTAACTCTGTGTACTGTGGTTCACTTTATTTATGTTCCGGTTCCAAAGCTTAATGTAAGCAAGTGTGGTGGAATTCTTTTCAAATATCTGCCGCTTTTCGGATGGCTGATGGACTGGTTTAGAAGAGTGTACAAAAACACACAGAGACAACACAGCGAGATTTAGCCAAGGATACAGAAACTTGTGGAAGCAGGGTGGCCACACAGAGAGAAACAGATGCTGCATTTCTTAATATAGTTTCCTGATCTCTTAGAGGCCCTAACAGGGGCATGTAGGTGACACTATATGCAAGATGTGGTTCAAATCTGTGTAGATCAGGCTTATATTATTATTATGGAAAAATTTACATTCTGTAAATTCTTTGTAGGAAATGCATATAAATATTCTTGAATCAAGTTTGGTGTCATCATAGTCACACCTCCTGTAGGGGCAGAGAAAACAGAGTCAATATTCAGGCATCTCTGCAGGCATAATTTCCCTGCCTCCATCTTCCCAGTGTTCTAAATAGTCTATACCACTGCATATATATTATCCAAAGGATATCAATTATCCTTTGATAATTACATAGGTTCAGATATACCAAATCAAACCATATGCTATCTCAAGACAGTACTTGATAGAATAATTTTGTCCCAAAAAAAGCCTGAAATAGTGGAACTGTCCCTAAAGTTGGGGACAGGTTATCTTTCTCTTCATTAGTAAAGGCAATACCCATTAGTTGGATTAATAAGAAGGTAGCTCAGATGGTAAAGAATCTGCCTGCAATGAAGGAAACTCAGGTTCAATCCCTGGATCAGGAAGATGCCCTGGAAAAAGCAATGGCTACCCACTTCAGTATTCTTGCCTGAAATTCCCAAGAACAGAGGAGCCTGGCGCGATCCAGTCCACGGGATCACAAAGAGTTGGACATGACTAAGTGACTAACACATACACATAAACTGTACAGATGGGTAATTGAAGCAGGCAGAAGTTAATTAACCTAGAAGTGCTTTGAACAGTGGGACTCACGAGTTAATAGCCCAATGAAGAATGACTTGAACAAAGGGCTAAAGCTTCTAAAGGAGATTTTATGCTGAGACATCAAACATGTTTGACAACTTTGTCAGAAGTTGAAAACTAGACTTGAGAAGGGCCTGTGACAGGTAAGGATGGAAAGCCAGTAACTATAATAGTTTGAAATTTGAATCTGGAGGATAATAGGGAGCTTTAAAGTGTTTAAAGAGAAAATAAAATGAGGTCTATTGTTAAAGAGGATGATTGCAGGGATTTAATGTTTGGATATTGGGCATTCTGTCTGTTTCTGCTTTGAATTAAGGTCTTTTTTTTTTTTTTTTTAATTTATTTATTTATTTATTTATTTTTTATCACAACCATAGTGTATCTTTTTTTTTTTTTTTTTACATGTATTCCCCATCCCGGTCCCCCCTCCCACCTCCCTCTCCACCCAATCCCTCTGAGTCTTCCCAGTGCACCAGGCACTCAACCTGGGCTGGTGAACTGTTTCACCCTAGATAATATACGTGTTTCCATGCTGTTCTCTTGAAACATCCCACCCTCGCCTTCTCCCAGAGTCCACAAGTCTGTTCTATACATAGGAGTCTCTTTTTCTGTTTTGCACATAGGGTTATCGTTACCATCTTTCTAATGAATTAAGGTCTTCTTGACCGTAAAAAGTATATAGTAGAAATCTTCAAAAACAGGAAGGGCATTTTTTTCATGACTTAATGTTGACTTTCTAAAGTTGTTTTTATATATTCTTAAATGGATCCTAATTATAATAAGGCAAAATGAAGCAGCCAAACCACATTTTGTTATGTAGTAATTAAATCCTGTGTACATCCGTGTATGTCTTTCTGAGTTTACTTTGAATACGTGCATGAGATTGTGGTCAGTTAAAAGTCCACCTTAACTCTTCTAGTGGGCAGCCTGTAACACAAAGCTTTTATATATCATGATTCTCAGTAAAGAACTGTGACTCTTAAGAATCACATTCTACTGGTGTGAGTTATAAGCAAAACAAGTCCATCTATTATTGATAGAAGTAGCTTATACTTCCCTCTATTCTAGGAGGCAAAGTAAGCCAGTGTGATGGGATTCTCTTAAACAGCCCACCTCATGCTTATCATATGGATTCAGATCTTTCCAATCAAATCATGTACCTTTTGGGAACATAACAACCAGTTACAGCCATAAAGTCTAAAATAGCATGACTAACGTAGAAATGTGCATAATCTTCCTCAATTCATCTTCAGTATAATTGAACAGAGATTCAGGGGCCCTGTCAAAGCTTTGCTTCCCATATTCATCATTAGATGATACTTGAGTTTCCAAAAAGTGAAAGTGAAGTGAAAGTGAAAGCCACTCAGTTGTGTCTAACTCTTTGCGACACCATGGACTACACTGTCCATGGAATTCTCTAGAGTGGGTAGCCTTTCCCTCCTCCAGGGGATCTTCCTAACGGAGGGATTGAACCTAGGTCTCCCGCATTGCAGGCACATTCTTTACCAGCTGAGCCTCAAGGGAAGCCCCAAGATGCCATTAATTCATCATCTCATTTTAATTCTACTTAACTGACATTTGTATTTGTATTTACTTCTACATGCTGATATTGGTGGCTCAGTGGTGTAAAGAATCTGCCGCCAATGCAGGAGATACAGGTTCAATCCCTGGATTGGGAAGATCCCGTGGAGGAGGGCATGGCAACCAACTCCAGTATTCTTGCATGGAGAATCCATGCTCAGAGAAGCCTGGTGGGCTATAGTCCCTGGGGTCCGAAAAGGGTCAGACGTTGACTTAGCAACTAAACAACAATAACAACTGATATTTGCATTATCAATCATCAATGCATGCATACTTACTTGTGTCTGACTCTTTTCAACTCTGGACAGACTCCTCTGTCTGTGGGATTCTCCAGGCAAGAATACTGGAGTAGGTTGCCATTTCTTCCTCCAGGGGAATCTTCCTTACTGGGGAATTGAACCCCCATCTCCTGTGTCTCCTGCATTGAAGGCAGATTCTTTACTGCTTGAGCGTAGGGGAAGCCCATGTTTGTATGCCAACAGCACTAATTGAATTCTCAGAGCCAGTAGAGGGAGGTGTATGGAAGTATAATAAATTATATTTACCTTTCTAGCCTGTTATTTCAAAACTGCCTTCTTAGTCTGTCACTGGCCTGAGGCCTGGATAGCTGGGTAGTGATTTCTGTGGAATGAAATGCTCTGGAGAATTACAGTTTCCTTAAAAGCAATCAATAAGGACTGCTGGCTATATAGCAAAGTCCTATTTATAATAGAGAAAATTAGAAGTATTTTAAAATAGGTATTAGTTAAATGAAAATTGATAGTGCTTAATGCATAGCTTAGAAATTCATTTGGGTGTTCACCTTGGCAGGTTTTCACCAGGTTAATTCCTTGATTTGTAGAGTAAAAGCCTTATTGAATCCTTGCTGATATTTGCTACAGGCTTTCTAAAATTGAAACCATTGATACCCCACCAGAAACCATAGCTTTTCAAGCCTGATTATTCACAAAGGAATGTGAGGTTTCAGTAGTTCTTTTACCATTTGTGCCCTCTCAGGACTATTCTTTATAAGCAGAAGTTTTTTATACCCTTTGTAGAGGTAGAAAGACCCTGGGTGTTTATATTAGGCATTTCTTTTGCTTATTGTTTTGAAAACTGGCCAGTATTGAAATATAAAAGTTCTCTAAGTTTATATTTTTTTTAGCTCACATAAATATTTATGGTTATTTTGACACTTCTTACTAGCTGTGAGTGTACTTTGATAAATGGCTTAAAAGTAATAGTCCCATATTTTCCTGTATGTATGTGAAGATAATGCCAGTAACTATGCCTTTGGGTTTACTTTTCCAGTTGACAATGAATTTCTTTTATTTTTTTGACAATGAGTTTCTGATAATTCTACCTTTTACCTTGATCCTTCTCCCACTGGTGATGTTTGTATTGATGAAATGATTAGTCTATGTTAATAATGCCTTTGAGGTTATAAAACTCCAAAATCAGCTAGTTTGTAACAGAATTGAACCTGGAATCTTTGTTTCAGCTTAGAACTCTAGGCAACTAAGTTTAAAATAATAAATGCACAAAGGTTTTTATTTAATATTCTTTGTTATAAAGCATAATATGTGTGTGGAGGATCTGTCATGGTCTTTTCCAGTAGGATTTGCTTTAAGATTAAAAAAAGGAACAAAAAGGCAAAATCTTCTCATATATCCCTCAGGGAAGCAATATTTTTAAGTTCTGGTATATGGTTAATTCTGTAGTCTTTACTGGATGATTTTATTGCAGGAAGATCCTAACTGCCAAGTCAGATTTAAAACATTATGCCATTTTCTGCTTGAAATCTTCCTTGTTTTTCATGCTTAGATCATTTAGCTCACTGAAGGCATTTTTGAAATCTAAATAGAGACTTTGGGTTAAAAGCATGAGCTGACAAACTGGATTTTCAACATGAAATTTGCTGAGTAGAAAATTGTTGGTTTTTTCATGCTTGTTTTTTACTTTAAAATGTTTTCCCTTTCTTCCTCACCCAGTTAATACACTGTTAAATGTGAAATTAAGTGAAACAGAAAATGGCAAGCACGTCTCTATATTGGATCTACCTGGCAACATTCTTATCATCCCTCAAGCCACCCTTGGGGGTAGAGTAAAAGGAAGAAGCATGCAGTATCACTGTAACTCTGGAAAAGAAGAGGGATTAGAACTTTATTCCCAATTTGTGAATCTCTGTAAAAAAGAATTAGCTGCTAATAGCAAGTGTGCTGAAGCTGGGGTTGTCGTGAAACACGGTACTTATGGCAATAGGCAGGTGTTAAAACTCGACACCAATGGACCGTACACACACCTAATTGAGTTTTAAACGTTTTGACAGCCATAATTAGATTCCAAAGCCCCTTCTTCTTGAGTACACTAATCTGCAGCATTTTTAGATAGGAAAATCCTGGGTTCCATCCACAACTCTGCAGCCTCCTAATTGGGTCACCTTGCCAGTCACCTAAACTGTGGATCTCAGTCACCTTCCATCCCACTTTCCCCTACACTGACACTCAGAAATTTGAAGAATCCTTCTCTTCGCTTTATGGTCATTGGTAAGAACATGGAAATGTTCCTAGAGAGTTGTATTTAAGCTTTTTGCAGTGAAGCATTTTGTATGATCAAGAAAAATTTATTTCTTATGCCCTCAAATATATGTGGTATGTAATAAAAATCACTATTTGTGTTAAAACTAGGTAAAACCCAGTACAAACAAATTATAATTTTGTCAAATTTGTTTTAGTATTTCAGATTTCCATATTTTGAATAAATGAATATGCAGTTTACTATTCTTCTAATACTATCTATGAAAATGCAGAAATGTTATTGTGCATTTTAATATTACTTTCCAAGAATATCCAAGTGCTTTAAGTTATTTTAAGAATCGTTAGTTGATATAGGAACAGGGGATGGGGGACTAAAAGTTGTTATTGTTTAATATTCTTGGTTAATATTCTGTTTCTCAGTTTTTTACCAAAACAGTGTGTGTCATATTGTTTGTCTTTGGTTTTTAAAAGTTACTGTTTAATTAAATTAGTGTTCATAAATTTTTTAGGAAGTTCTTTTCTTGTTGATTTAGATTGCTATATAATAGGAATAAAAAGGGAAGCTTTCTACTGGAATTACTTGAAAACAAGTTGATTTGTTTATTTCCGTTTTATTGACTTAGTGATTTGGACCCAGTGTCATTTCTTCTTTTAGTGTATTTTTGTGTCTGCCCCTCTCAAAATGCATATGTTGAAGTCTCCCAAGTGATGGTATTTGCAGATGGGGCCTTTGGAAGGTAATCATGGGAATGGATGCCCTCATGATGGGATTAGTGTCCTCATAAGAAGAAACACCAGAGAATTTACTCACCCTTTCTCTTCCGGCCATGTGAAGATGAAGTGAGAAGGGGGCCTTTTACAAACCAGGAAGAGAACCTTTACCAGAAACTGACCATGCTGGTGCCCCGATCTTGAACTTCTAGCCTGCAGAGCTATAAGAAAATAAATTTCTGTTGTTTAAGCCACCGTAAGTGTATGGTATTTTGTTCTAACAGCCCAAGCTAAGACAGTGATATAAATAGCCAGTAAGGTAGGCTTTTCAAAGCCAAGAGAGGAAGATCTGTAAGAAGCTGAAAGAACAAATGAATCAATAAAAGGTATTATTCATTTTTTGCAAACTCCTTTGACTTGAATCAGATATTTTAAAGAGAGAAAATGAAATAGAGTTTCTAATTATCAAAAGATGAAAAATTGAGTTGAATAAATATCTTAAGTAGCTGTTGAAAATTCTTTGTGTCTTATACAATTTCTTTAGGATTGGGTTCCTTAGATTCTTAAAGTGTCTTAAGAAAAAAGTCCTATTTTCTCTGTACCCTTCCTGTACTATTCTATTTTGGAACTTGAGGATCAATAATTGGCTTGGTAGTGAGCTCATTGTTCTAAAATTTTGGTTTATTGATTCACAATACACTTATTGAAATGTAATAAACTATTCATAAACTTGCAAACTCCAATTTTCTCAGAGTTTCTCCAAAGAAGTGTATGTCTTTCAAAAAGATTATGTGTTACCTATTTTAAATCATTTTGATGTGTGTGGGTGAAATGCTGACTCACAGCCCTAGATTGCTATTTTATAGTTCAGGCAATTCTCCTTTAAAAAAAAATTTGCTTGAGGTACTTGTGGAGAACAGCAATTTCAACTACATGAAAGGTTATTAAGCAGAAGATGACACCCACGTTTGTTTCATTTCCCAGGAGGCTAGAACAAGAGGGAAAAAGCAAGAGAAATAGTAGATTTGAAAATAACTGTACTGTGTCTTTCTATAGCTCTCCTGGCCCAAGATGCTCCAAGAACCTTCAACAGATACCTAGTTTTATCTTCACAATATATAATGAGGACAGTGCTCTGGAAAGTAAGAAAATGCTGGAATAACTTTCCCAAGATCATACATTAGGGAGCAATAATTTCCATCTCCCTGACTTTTCTTGTAGTGAGAGTTAAAATTGATCTTTATAAAGGTTTAGCATCTCCCAGTGTGGATCACTTGAGAAAGAACAGCCAATAAGTTGTTTTACTTACTGAATTAGGTGGCTGGAGGGTTGCACCTAATTTAGGTGTCTTGTGTCTCTTTTTCGAAGATTCTAGAATGTTTAAATTAGAGTATCTTTTCTTTTAACTGAGCTATATAGTTGTTTACAGTGTGTGTTAGTTTCAAGTATACAGCAAAGTGATTCAGTCTGTATATGTGTGTATATATATATATATATATATATTTCAGCTTCTTTTCCCTTTATAAGTTATTATAAAATATTGAGTATAGTACCCTGTTCTATGCAGTAGGACCTTGTTTTTTGTCTATTATATATATATAATAGTATATATCTATTAATTCCAAACTCCTAATTTGTCCTTCTTTCCCCTTTCCCTTTTGGTAACCGTAAATTTGTTGTCTGTGTCTCAGTCTGTTAATATTTTGTGAATAAGTTCATTTGTGTCATTTTAAAGATAACATGTAAGTGATATCATATGATATTTATCTTTGCCTGAATTACTTCACGTACAATATCATTTCTAAATACTATTTTATCTGTCCATTTTGAAAACTTCATGTATTTGGTTATATAAAATACTGTGTATAAGGCATAGACTACCAATGAGTATGAATTTATCTTGAATATACTCATACTAGGTAAGGCAAATACTTTTACTTAATTAAATACTTAATTTACTTAATAACTTAATACTTAAGTAAATAATTAATTTACTTAATACTTAATTTATTAGTTCAAGTCAGAAGAAGACATGAAATTTGTGAATAATGTATGTATTAGTGATTTATTGACTCCATAATGGAAGACCTGGACTTCCCTGATGGCTCAAAAAGTAAAGAATCTAACTGCAATGCAGGAGACCCAGGTTCAATCCCTGGGTGGAGAAGATCCCCTAGAGAAGGGAATGGCTAACCACTCCAGTATTCTGGCCTGGAGAATTCCATGGACAGAGGAACCTGGTGGGCTACAGTCCATGGGGTTGCAAAGAGTCGGGCATGATTGAGTGACTAACACACACAATGGAAGACCTAAACTTATCAAATGTAAGGATCAAATATATAGAATCTCATGCCACTTGTTTCAGAGGATAAAAACTCACATTGGTGTTAGAATGATGACATGTCAAATTTTTATTATCTGTGGTTAACATTGCAGAGGATCTGATTTGTTAAATTATATTTATTTCTTAAAACTCACATGATAATGAAACCAGTATTTCTAGAAGTACTTTACCTATTAATTTATTGAAATAAGGCTACTTTCTGAAAGGGAAGATCTATTAGAAAACTTAACATTTTCATTCTGAAGCCACACTTTGGTGATGACTCTAAATGTCTGTTTATTTTGATAGTCTCCTAATTATTCTCCTTCCATCCTATTTCTCCTACCTCTAATCCCTTTTTGCAGATGATTTCCAAGGTAATGATTCCAGAAAATTCCTTTCTGTGTAACATTCCACTTTATAACTTTTTTTTTTTTTTTTGGTCTACAGGACAAAGTCTAAACTTCTGAAGTTGGCATGACGGTTCTCCTTACTCACTAGGAGTGAATGAACTCATGAAGGGAAAAATGTAGAGGACCAAAGTCAGAATCCTGAGAAAACAAAATGAAGGCAACATATGAGAGGCCAGAGAATGGTATAGAGATCAAAGAGACAGAGAGAACCAGATAATGTATTATTAACACTAGATAGTTTTCAAGATGTAAACAGTGGTAGGGTCAGTGCCAAATACTGGAGAAATATGGGATTAAGCTGTGGAAAAAACTTCTGGGCCTAGCAGTTAGGTGTTTTCAAACTTATGGAAAATTGATGTAAAATTTGCAAGTTAGTAGGATAGAAAAGGATTCCTAATCTTTCTTTCTTCAGGTAGAGTGTTACAAGGTTTGCCACTGGACCACCAGAACAGGAATCACCTGGGGAATCTAATATTTTACCAAATGCAGTTTTCTGGGACCATCCCAAATCTGTTGAATTAGAATCTCAGGAGTTAATATCTGTCTAGTCAGCAGTCTTCTCCAGGTGATTATTGTATATACTGGAATCTCAGAACCACTGTTACTTGAATGAAGCCCAGACCTCTAAAGCTGGTATTACAGTTTTATAATCTGGCTTCAGCTTGACTTCTTAACCCTTTCTCCCTCTCCTCCCCAATAGAAATCCTCCAGTATAGCTCTTTTTATACCCTTCTTGGGTCATGCTATTTGATAAGTTGCCTTCTGCTCTCCTCTAAATCCATCATTCAATATCTGGCTCAAGTTGGTCTCCTCTGTCATTTCTCCTGCCTTTACCTCCCCAGGCATTATGGTGGTTCCACTCTTGACACTTGTTATATGTATTAGGAGACTGAGTACTTCACCTTTCTTTACGTTTATATGTCCTAACTACAAGAGATAAATAATATTGGACAGAGGTGATACAACATGAGCACACACAGTTTTTCTTTAAATCTCCCACAGTTCTTCCATAGCACTGTGTTGTGCACGCTCAGTAATTCACAGTGTTATCTGAATTAATATGGAGGCATGTCAGGGGCTAGAATACTCTTGATTTTGGTTCAGTTTTACCAGTATTTCCTACAGATTTCTTTGTCATTAAGGAATAAAGAGGTTGGAATGTGCAGGAACCAAATTTAATACCACCACCCCCTTTCTTTAATACAGTAGATAATACCAGAAAAGTTAAAAAGACAAACTAAAACAGATTTTTGAGATTCAACAAAAATGTAGGCATTGCTATTTCTATTTTGTTGCTTTATTATATCAGGGTGTTAAAGAGAAAAACCACATG